GCACAAACACATACACATACATTTTATGTATGAATTTTTGTGTATTATAGTGTTATAAAAACACTTGTTACTCCTAATGAAGCTTGGCCTTCAGAGTAGAGCAGGCTATTTAAATGGAGCTGCTTTTAGTGACTTTTTTTTCTACTGTCACTGTAATATGGATATCAGTGAGTATCACAGCAGGTTTTGCCTTACTACTTTCAATCCTTTCCTATCACAACTATTTAAAATAAATATAAGTCTGAGCCAATAGGGTAAGCCTTTACTTCCTTCTGAAACAGATGATTCTGGAGAGAAATAATCAATTGATCTGCATAGAATGTCATGAGGAAAAAGGCTATGTGAGCTCTGAGGAGATAATCACATGGCCATCAGTGCTAGTGGCAAAACTTGATGCCAAGACAGAGGAAGATCATGGGTTTGCCATAGTCTGGATGAACAGTTCCAACTTCAGTGTACCATTTACTCTTCAGACTTTTCCTAATGATTGGGGGTTGATACAAGCAATGAAGTTGCTGTTCATGACTTCCAGTGAAATGAATTTCTTGATCATTTGATAGGAAGGTTGAGATTTCCATATTGGAAATAGAAAGTCTAGTAATTTTTCTTCAGCCATAAACAGCTGAAGCCCTCAAACAAGGAAAAGCTTTCATCCTGAAAATTTACAAACAATGACTAATGCATAGTCATAGCCTAAAGACTTAGGATGTTGTATAAAATTCATTTGTAAATGCTCAAAAAGTCCTTATGGAGGAAGCTCTAAACTCTTACCAGTATTACTTTAATGTGGAAATGAGTAAATCTCTTTCTTCCTTGGTGTGAAAAATTATGACAATAATTGGATGGATCTTGGTGCTACGGGCCTACTATCCTTAAATCACCTTAATCCATCATTAAGAAGAGAACATGCCTATAATTGCCAATATTTTTTCAGATGACTGAGCTGACAGTCTTGAGTCATAGTCATCGTGAGTCATAGTCATCTAAATTGACCTAATCATTTTTCCTGAAGGTATGGTGGGGACAAATGTGAATTAGTAGCACCAAATATAGCTGGAGTGGTAAATGTCCCTCATTTAAAATGCATAATAATTAAGCTATGCATTTGTTTCATGTAGTTTTCTGTATCTGTTACATTTTACAACTTAAAAAAATTTTTAAACATGTTAATCTTTTAGAAATAATTGGTTCAGCTTAATTTGGGAGAAAGAAATTCTGCTTGAACTACCCTCT